AGCCCAAGGAAGAGGTGTGCGGGGGGGGCTGGGAATGTCCCTTCTCAGGGCTCCTGGGGCTGCGTCTTTGGGGCTGTCTGCGGGAAGAGCAGCACCAGGGCGGTGGCAGGGGCCAGGCAGGTGGTGATGGGGGGAAAGGAGCAGTGGGTGCCGGGGAGGGGACAACTGTGTCAGGGATGCCCTTGGCTTTCCAAGGTGACCCAGGAGAGGGGCTGCGAGAGCCCCAGGGAAGTGGGAATTGGAAATGTGGGGGATTGCATGGTTCTGGCCAGAGAGGGTGCTGAATTAAATGTGTCTTTTGTGCCGCCGTGCCCCAGGCATTGAAGGGAGGTGGGGAGGGTGGGGGGGCCGGACGCAGGCCGCTGCGCATATACTTTGCTCACAGCCCCAGGATTGGGGGCAGAGAGCTGCAGGCTCACAAATCCGTTAAAAGCCTGCTGCAGAGCAGCTGGCACTGAGCAGCCTGGGCATCTCAGGAAAGCAGTTTCCCTTTCAGAGGGAAGGCTTGGTGTCCTCTGGCCAGCAGCATAAGGGTATGTGTCACAGGCCCTTGGCTGAAGGGCTCGGAGCCCCACGGCTCCCAAGCTGCTGCATTGTGCTCTCACCATTTGCCGGCTCTGTTTGGTCATGGTACTGTGAAACACTTACCCGGCAGCATGGCTGAGGGCTTAAAACCAGCACTGTCCCTGCTGGGCTGCATCCGTCACTCCCCCATAAAATCTTCTGTTTGCTTGCCAGACGGAGAGCAGCCACGCGACTTGGTGAGACCTGCACTGAACCTTGCCACGCAAGATGACAGCAAGAGATGGGCCCCAAGATAGGTAATGCTGGGCTCTGGTGTAGGTGTGGGGGCATATGCAGGATACCAGGAGGTGAGGGAGAACAGGGGGACCCAGCATCTGGGAGAGCCCCTTTCCAGCATGCTCACTGGGCTACAGAGCTGTCCCTTCCCTGAGATGTTCTCTCCATCAGCTCTTCCTTAGCAAATGGGCTGTAAACAGCCCCTGGCGCTGGGACACGCCTGGGGAGCGTGACTCCCCTCCCATTGTGTCTGGGTGCCACGGGCCAAAGAGCAGCCAGCCTCCCCTCGCCTTTTTACCCTCCTGGGGAGGGCCTCCTGTGTCTCCTCTGGCAGCCCAGGCTAGCAGGGGTTGTGGTGCAGGGGAAGGGGCAGGGACAGGGCGGTAAAGTTCATCCTTCCTCCTCCTCCTCCTCCTGATGCCTCCAGCCATGGGGTCCGGGACAATCAGAAGCAATGCCTGTCCTCTGCCCTGCCCAGAGTCCTGCTCCAAACCACTCTATCCCCTCTGCAGGTACAAGGGTGTCTGGCTGATCTTCTTCATCCTCGGCCTGGGAACGCTGCTGCCATGGAATTTCTTCATGACTGCCAGGGAGGTGAGGGCTTCCCTCCTGCTGCTGCCCATGACACTAATCATCCCCTGTCACCTCTAGGGACCATGCTGTAGGTGTGGCAAGCACAGCGTGGCACAGGGCCCCTGTGTTTGCACACAGGAGACAGAAGCATGGGTGACCTGCATGGGACAAGTGGCACTGAGGTGGCAGGAGGAGCCCTGGACTAGGCATGGGGCGGGAGAGGGGACAAGGGTGACCTGAGTGTGCTGGGGGGGAGACCTCGCAGCACCTCAGCCCCACCAGGCTCCTTCCCTCGCAGTATTTCATCAGCCGCCTTGCGGACCCTGAGGAGACAAGCCACTTCTTGAACGAGACTGGTGGGGCTGCCTTGCCCCCCTCCTACCTGCAGTCCATGTTTGACAACTTCATGACTCTCTGCGCCATGGTGCCTCTCCTCATCTTCACCTGCCTCAACTCCTTCATCCACCAGCGGTGAGCCTTGCCCCGTCCTTGTCCCTGCCAGCCCCCATAGGGTTGCCCAGCCTTGGCCAGTCTTCCTGCCCCAGCACTGGGCCAAACCACAGCCCGTTCAGTCAAGTCAAAGGCAAAACCACCAGTCTACTGTGCTGGGGCTTGGCTGAGATACCTGTGGGAGAGCTTGGCCACAGCCTCACAGGCTTTCGGAGCGTGGGTTTTCCTCACTGAGACCCTCTCTTGCAGGATTCCCCAGCAGATCCGCATCTCAGGCAGCCTGGTGGCCATCGGGCTGGTGTTTTTAGTCACTGCGATCATGGTGAAGGTTGCCATGGAGCCTCTTCCCTTCTTCATCTTTACCATGATCAGCATCGTCTTCATCAACTGTGCGTAAGGCAATGGGGGGAAGGAAAGGGGCACAGCCCCATGGCTAGGACTGATCTCTCTGGGAGAAGAGCATGAACCTCACTGCGGGAGAGCCAAGGAGGAGAGGGACCTGCCTTGCCTTGCAGGGTGGGAGCCTTGGCTCCTCGCAGAGGTGCAGTCCACCCTTGCCTTTGGTTTCACATTTCTGCTCATCTTTCCCCTTTGCAGCCTTCGGCGCCATCCTCCAGAGCAGCCTCTTTGGGCTGGCAGGGCTCCTGCCTGCCAGCTACACCGCTCCCATCATGAGTGGGCAGGGCTTGGCGGGCACCTTTGCCGCTTTGGCGATGATTTTCAGTATTGCAGGTGAGTAATTGCTGCCCTATGGGTGCACTGCTGTTAGCAGGATCTGCTGAGGTCACACTGCAGGGTTGGGTGGGAGATGGCAGCAGGACCTCACTCCTCTCAGCTCTCGTCATCTTCTTTTGTTCCCCCTGTATACTCCCTGTGGTCCCAGTTGGTGCCCAGCAACCTGAGAGCTACATCGGTTACTTCGCCACGGCCTGTGTGGTGATCTTGCTGGCAATCTTCTCCTACATCCTTCTGCCTCGCATGGTGAGACTTTGTTGTCCTGGTGGGGAAGGGTGTGGGGACATGGGACCTTTGCACATCACAGCACAAAGACTGCGGCCCACCAGCGCCCCAGCCTTGGCTCCTACCAGCCTCCATCTCCTGGGTCTGGGCAAGCTCTCCCCTGTCCCGAGGGAGCTCTCTGGGATACTTCCCAGCTCAGATACCCCAGTATCATTGGAGTACTGAGCCCCTGGGTGAGCAGGAAAGCATAAGTATGGTACGTAAGTGGAAGGAATACTTTGCCCATATTGCATTTGCCCATATTGCCCGTATTTGCCCTGTTACCACACAGCCCCCAGCAGCCTTCTTTCCTCCTGCATGAATGAGTTCTCCGTGGCTGTCTCTCTGCAGGATTTCTTCCGATACTACTCCATGAAGGACAAGACAGAGTACCATGTGTACAATGCAGAGCTGGAGACCAAGAGAGACCTGATTAAGAAAGGTGAGGGGCTGAGAGGAGGAAGGAGAAAGAGGAAGAGTTCAGAGGAAGAATGAGACAGAAAGACTAAATTAGACCCCAGCTTTCTGGGGTGTGCTATGCCCTACTCATGTCTGTCCCTGCAGATGAGCCCAATGGGGTGGAGCAGAATAACTCAAAGATCATCCCTATCCACAATCCTGATGAGAAGCCCTCGGTCGTTGCTATTTTTAAGAAGGTCTGTGAATTGCCAGCAATCCCTGCCCTGCCCCTCACATCAGGGGACGGGCACAGGTGTAGGGGAGCATGGGGAGAGGAGACCAGCCCTGCACTGGTCTCTTACCTTGTGTTTGGTACCAGCCTCTTTCTTTCATCTGCCTAGCTCTGGGTCATGGCTCTGTCTGTCTGCTTCGTCTTCACTGTCACCATCGGTGTCTTTCCTTCCATCACAGCTAAGGTGTCCACTGTCCTCGGAGAGGGAAACACATGGGGTAAGTGTGGCCAGGGATGGGGTGGGGAAGGAGGAAACTGGGAGCAAGGTAAATGGGAGGAAAGAAAGTGAGGCTTGAAGTAGCAGGGGTGCCTGAGGAGGAGACCATTGTGCATGATGGTTTGTATGTGGACACCAGCCTGCCTGGGAGAGCATTCCAGCCCTTAGCGGGAAACCAGGAGGACCCAGACCTGCAAGACAGTCTCCGTGCAATTGGCAGGAGAGTCTGGGGCACCCTGGGCTCATCAGTGACCTTCTCCCCCTTCTGCAGGTCTCTACTTCATCCCTGTCTCCTGCTTCCTGCTCTTTAATGTCTTCGACTGGACAGGACGGAGTCTCACCGCCCTCTTCACATGGGTAAACGTGGGCAGGGAGCAAATTTCAGGCACTCCTCCCCAGGCCCATCAGCCATGGCTGTCACTGGGGCTGCCATCCATGGGGCCTGGAGGAAGGAGGCAGAGAGCTGACTTTAAGTCCTAAGCAGAGATTTATGGGTCAGAGCTGAGAACCACAGTGTTGTCCTGTCCTCTTCCCACCCCTCTTTCAGCATGGCTTGGATGAAGCTGCCTCCTCCACTTCAGCCTCTTTGTAAACAAGCCTTCATTCCAGCTATGCAAACCGCCAGGCAGGACAGCGGCAGGGGAAGAGGTGAAAGACAGGGCAGCCCAAAATAAATCCTCTGGCCTCCACACAGGACACAACTGCTTTAAAGAGCCTTGTCCTGGGAGCAGGGCAGAGCCATGCCACATGGGTCACAGAGCTTTCCCCTGCTGCATCCCCTTGCTTTCATCTCCCCTGCCTGGCTCAGAGCTGTTGGGGCTGGGTGATGGGAGCTGTGATGGGGGGGATGTGTGTGAGGAAGTGAGCTGTTCTGTCTGCATCTCTTCCTGCCCCTTCACCCACCCCCCAAGCGCTGTTTCCCCCTGTATTGTTCAGGCTGTTTATTTAGAGAAGCTTTGCAGCACCCCGCGCCATGGGGTCTGTCCAGGCCTGGCTTCCCCACAGCCTGGAGCTGCTTCTTCCCTGGCCATTGCTGCTGGCTGCCCTTGGCCTTGGCCAAGAGCCGTGTTGCCTGGTGTCCAGGCCACAGCCTCCGTGGTGGGATGACCCAGCAGGAGATGTTTCCAAAACAAGGCTGTGTGGAAAGTCTGACTGCATGTGGTTTAGGCCTCATTTCCCTGGTTGGAGCCCTGCTTGCTCCTTCTCTCCTTGGGAGGAGAGGCTGCTGCTCTCACCAGTTTGCCCACAGACATGGCAGCTGGTCTAACCTCAGCTTCCCCCTGTGCTCATGACCTGCCAGCCCAGGCAGCTCCCAAGGCAGCTGTGGGTCTCTCCTGACCCCAGACCAGTAAGCCCTGTCATCTGCAACCCTGGCACCCCACTGAGGGGACCCCAGACAGAGCCAGGCATGACTCGTACAAGGGGCTGCCTTGGTCCCAGCTGCAGAGACAACAGAGGGGGACGGTGCCTCCTTCCTCCCAGCCTCATGCATCCAGGGACTCTGCTAGGATCCGAAGAGGCTTTAATTCGGTCCGTGCCTTTCCCAGCACTGGCTGAAACAGCCCTGGTGTAATCCCCTTCACAGATTGCTGGATCTCGCCCCACTTGGCTGGGGGATGACGTGGGAGGCTGAAGAGCTCGTTAAAGCCCTGTTTGCAGGCCCTGAGGTGCCAGAGGGGATTTACTTTAGCCAGCCTCATCCTGCTGCAGGATGAGATTGTGTGAGCGTGCATGAGGCTCTCTGCCCTGTCTGTTTCCAGCAAGGGCTAAGCTGTTGCTCCCAAGCCTAGCTCTAGTGCTGCTGCTTTCCAGGTCAGCTGGGATAGGACTTCAGGGTAGTAGTCAGACCTAGTAGGACCTCCTTACCACAGCAAGTGGTGATGCTGAGATTTGTTCTAGCAGAGAAAGTCTCTCAGCAATTCTGCCCTCCCCGTGGCTCCTCTGCAGCCCCGGTGCAGCCGGGACAGCCTATCTATAGCCCCTGCCAGCATGCCATGGCGTGGGGAATGTCCACTTCTCAGTCGCTCAGTGACCTGTGTTTTTCTCCCAGCCTGGGAAGGACAGCTGCCTCCTGCCAGTGATGGTGGCCCTCCGTGTCATCTTTATCCCTCTGTTCATGCTGTGCAATGTGAAGCCTCGTGACTACCTGCCTGTCGTATTCTCTCATGACGCCTGGTACATCATCTTCATGATCTTCTTCTCCATCTCCAACGGCTACCTGGCCAGCCTTTGCATGTGCTTCGGGCCCAAGTGAGTATGAGCTGGGGACAGGGGAAGGGTTGGTTACACCCACAGATGCCAGCCCCAGCACAACTGGAGTCTGGCTCTGCCCAGCTCTGGTGTCTGCAGAAGGGGATGCAGGTGCTGAGGGGAATTGCCACACCACCTCAGGGAAGACAACGCCAGTGTCGCATCTCCCTGCCTTGTGCCTCCATATCCTAGAGATGAGGCAGCTGTTGTTTGGGCCCTCCGTTTCCCCCACCTGCCATGCTGGGGAAGGGGCCCAACACAGCAGGGATTTGGAGGGGAGTGAAGCGTGGCACAGCACTCGTGGCAGGGTGAGCAGCCTTGCCCAGCACCAGAGCACAGGCAGCACAGGGAGCCCAGCTGGGGCGCAGGAGTCAGGGAGGGGTGTCCCTGGCGCCGGGAGCTTCAGGGCAGCCTGCCTGATGGATGCACTTTTTCCACGAGCCCATGGAGGTAGGCTCTTGGAGCCAAGGTGGATTTGCTCTTGCCATTCCTCTGCTGCAGAAGAGCACAGCATCTGGTCCTCTGTGGCTTCCTCCCACTGCTCCGTTGAACTCGCAGCAGGGCACGGGGCACGCGTCCCCAAGGATGGGTATGACACCTGTTTCTCCCCTAGGAAAGTGCTTGCCCACGAAGCAGAGACAGCTGGAGCCGTCATGGCCTTTTTCCTGTCACTGGGCTTGGCCCTAGGAGCTGCCATCTCCTTCCTGTTCCGAATTCTCATCTAGCAGAGGCACCTGGAGGGTGCAGGGACACCAAGAGATGGCTCCGCATCCTCCTCCAAGGCCCTGGACACCTCAGCGCTGTGGGGAGATAACACCTCACACCTGCCCCTGCCAAATCGCACTGCCACAGCAGATGTTACGCACAGGGACGGTTCCACTCCTGCAGGGTTGGCCTGGCTCCTGCCACGCTCAGCTGTGTGATGCCTTCAGGCCTATGTGCCTTCTCCTTCCCCATGCTGTGTGTGTGTAAGACCCCTGGGATCTCACAGAGGTCCAGCCACCTCCCACACTGCGTAATTTCCCCAGCTCAAGGCCAAAAGCCATTCTCAGCCTCCTTCTCTCTGACAGAGTTGAAGGCAGGTATCCAGTGTTACTCCTTTTCTTGCCCTTGTCCCCAAGGCAGTTAGGGGCTTGCTCTCCTCTGCTTCCAGGGGGCCTAGAAACATCTCACGCCACTTCTCCTGCTGGTGAGACTTGCAAATGGGGAGGAGAGCCCCAGCCAGCCTCACCATCCCTGCTGTCTGCTAGGCGCACTTTCCCACGCACAGCAGCAGCCCAGGGACATAGACATCCATGCCCCACCACCACCATGGCTAGGCTGAGGGAAAAGGAGGTCTCCACACCCCGCCTTCTCCCCCTCTCCTTGCCTTTGTTCCCTTTTTTTTTTTTTTTTAAATTTTTCCACTTTCTGCCCCCTGGCTGTGTGACAGCAGGTCCCACCATGGGCTGCAAGAGGAGGGGAGGCAACTCTCTTCCCACCCAGGCTGCCTTCCCTTCCCACCTGTGCTGCAAGGGGAGCCTTGACCTCTCCTTTGGCTTTCCCATCCCTTCTCTGTGTAAATGTGTCTGTACAGTTGCCATTTTCTATAAAACGATTGAAACGCCCTGTTGGGTATGTGTGTGTGTGTCTCTATCACCGCAGGGGAGAGGGCTGCGGAGGGGCAAGGGCTGAAGGGAGCAGGCACCAGAATTTCCTGGGCATCCCTGGGTTCTCCTGTGGT